GAAATGAGCCACTTGAGTAATTGCTGTATATATGCACCATTTGCTGTCAACAAACATTGATCCATGATTTTGTCTTATGTAGTCTAATCACATAATGGAGAATTAATAGGCTGCTCTGTGAATATGCAGATTTTAACTTGTATCAGAAATGTCAAACCTGTGATGGCCCTACTTTCAGACTGTTGGTTGGGACTGTTATTTCAGAAAATGTCTATTTTGAATTTAAATTTGAATTGTGTCCCATGAATTGCCAGAAAACCCTCAAGCATGTGCTCAGCCTGATGAGCTTTTTGATAGTCAAAAGCAGGATAGATGGGGCTGACCATGGGAAGTACTTGGAACATTGAGTTGGGTTTCGTTTTATGAGTAAAAAGAACTGTAGTAGACCAAAATATGCTCCCTCTTGACTCAAAGCCAAGAGATGAGATATGGAAATCTACTCAGTGTGTCCAACTACTGGCTCAAATTGTAGCTGCCCACGGCGCACACACCATCGTTATTCTGATGGTCAAACAAGCAGCCAAAAAGGATGGTAGGACTCTTCCGCAAAGAGTGCGCTCAAGTATTCACCTAGTGAGAATGAGGCCCTCTACAAGATACACAATGACACAATAATTACTAATGCAAATTAATTAATGCGCTATTTATAAAAGTTACACAAAATGCTCTCAAATAATGTGTTAATTTTTTCTTCTAAAATATCACTGTGGCAGAGTAGACACAATTTTTCCTTTAGAGTGGAGTCATTGACTTTGTAAATGGTAAATGTCAGTGTTATGATAACATAATATATTCTATGTGAATATACAGCGTACGAAGTTTTAGCATTGAAGTGCAATTTGATTTGCATGGAAAAATAACCTAAGAGCTTTTATTGGAAACTATGAGAGTTTCAGGATGACAGACACGGAGCATCCCCATGTTGTTGTGGTTACTCATTGTTACACATACCACAGTCATGCATATATGCCACAGTCTCTGAGGAGAGTGAGACACTGTTGTCTAAGCCTGACATTACTCTAAGCAGTATGCATGATTTCATGTCTACAATGTTATTTTTCACTGTGGTCATCAGAATAACTTTGTTTTAAGTAATGATTTTTATTTACATTTTTTCTGGTCTACGTGGGAAAATTATGTGGTAAATATGTGAATCTGTGGGTCAGTGCGTCAGAGATGAACATTTTAAAAGCAGCGGCAGATTCAAATTTGCCAACCTGATGGGGTCATTAAGATGTGATGGGGCTGGATTATTCAAGGCCTTGTTTGTGAGGAGAAGGATTTTAAATTTAATTCTGGATTTAACAGGTAGCCAATGAAAAGAAGCCAATATAGGAAAAATGTGCTCTCTCTTTCTAGTCCCGGTCAGTACTGTTGCTTCAGATTCTGGATTGACTGAAAGTTTTTTAGGACATTCTGATAATAATAATAAAAAAAATTACAGTAGTCCAGCCTAGAAGTAATAAACTAGTTTTTCAGCATCACTCTGAGATGGGATGTTTTGGTAATTTTAGAGATATTGTGCAAATGGAAGAAAGCAGTCATACATAGTTCTGTAATATGTGCATTGAAGGACATATCATGGTCAAGAATGACTCGGTTTTATCAGAATTTAGAAGCGGTCTCTGCTGCAACTTCTCTGCCTGTTCTGGTCTCCTCTGTGCCTTTCTCATTTTTTTCTTTTGTGAAAAGGCTTTAGCTGAACTGATAACTAAGGGTGTTATAGGCTGGCCTCCCTACTTCCCATTATGAATCCTATTGAGCGTATTTGGGGCAGTGTTGCATTTTAATGCCTCTTAGCATCATTAGTCACTAGGTCAACCTGCTCTGCAACAAAGCTGGTGGAATCCCAGATATTTTTCATTGAATGCTGTTTGTCAATCCCCCATCAATCAACACAGGCAGTTGGGTTGGAGCTGCC